AACGCGGGTGGAAATGCTATGCAGGGTGGGGCGGATTGAAATTTGCGGGTTAAGGCAGAACCTGCCCCGCCTTGCCCCACTTGCCATTCCAAATGGAAGCACTATATTTTTATGATTAAAAATAATTAATTTTGGTATCCATTTTTACCATTAATTTAACATTGTAATAAGCATTACGTAAAAATATTTTATGCATATTCATCTTATGTGTTGAAATTCCTTCTTCCTCAGACTCCGTATTCAATCAAACAAGGGGGAATGACACAGTTACCCACAAAAACAAAACTATTTACCCTTGTCTATCCATTTGTTTTTCTACCCATAAACTAATTACATTTCCTACCCATAATAGTTTTTGTGGGGAATTTTCTCTTTTTTCTCCAATTCTTTTTTATTTCTATGCTTCTTTTCTTTTTTTTCTTTTTTTCTTTATTTTCTCCTTTTCTTTTTTCTCATTTTCTTCTTTTTTTTTTCTTTTTTCCTTTTCTAATTTCATTTAACTTTTTTTTTCATATTCTTTTTCTCTTTATAATCTAATTTCATTTACTGTTTTCACTATTTTTTATTATTCTTTTTTTTATACAATAAGAAAAAATAATTAATATAGTAAATATTTGTTCACCTTTTTTTTTTTTTAATATAACTAGTATAATATACCTTTTGTCTTTTTTCTCATTTTTTAAATTCAATTATTAAACTGAAATAATATCAGTTGTCACTTGATCTAATTCACTGAATATCACACTGACTGTTGCTGACCACCATAAATTACATAATCAGATTCTAAGAATCAACACGTGATTGTCATGCAAACCTTGATCTCCTTCCCTACAAATATCAGTACACACTCTACCATTAGTAGTAACACAACCAATTATGGAGAAAAAAACATAATCTATGGCCACCAAATCTCCATATATACTAGTTAGAATAGAAATGATAATAAAATATTGAAAAATGCAATAAAAGTATAAGCAGCAAAAAAGACTTCTAGTATCATATGATACCAATATGGTATACATGTATATCAACAGAGTATATGATTGCTCTATAATATTGCTACAACTATCTACGACTATACTACTGTACCAAAACTTTAAAGGATGCAATAAAAGTATGAGAAAATTACATGCTCGCATTGCAAGCTAAATATTCGTAAAGCAACTTGCTCATTCTGCATACTAACAGGGTATATAGTTGTATGGGGTCATTCCAACAATTGCCTATAACTATAAAAACTATTATATAATACACATAATCTATGTCCATCGACACAAAAAAAATTTCCAGCACCGCAAATCATGTTCATATAAATAATTTCAGAATAGTAATCACTTAAAAATGTAGCTAAAACAACCAAAAAAATATTCAAACTACCATACGATACCAATATGGTATATAACTATACCAACATGGTATACAGCTTTACTGGTTAATTTCTGGCAATTATATGACTATACTATACTATTTCATAACACACATGCATAAAGAGAAAAAAAAAATAGTGTACCAGATATTAATAAAATAAAGTATTTCAAGATATTGTACTATATTACTATTATTAAAAGAAAATCAAATAGTCTACCAATTAAATGCAGCTAATACAACCAAGAAATGATTCAACTATCATATGATACCAATATAGTATATAACTATACTAATAGTGTATATAGTTGTACGGGGTCGTTCCAACAACTGCACATAACTATAAAAACTATTACATAATACATAAAATCTATATCCATAGGTACAAGAAAATCCAACACAGCAAAACATGATCATATAAATCATTTCAGAATAGAATTCACTTAAAAATGCAGCTAAAACAATCAAAAATATTTCAACTACCATATGATACCAATATGACATATAATTATACCAATAGGGTATACAATTCTACTAATTAAATCAGGCAACTATATATGACTATAGTACTATTATATAAAGAGGAAAATCAAAAAATAGTGTACCACATATTAATATAAGAATGTATTTCAAGATATTGTACTATAATACAATTATATAAAACAAACGCATAAAGAAAAAATCAAAATGATTACACAAAAAAAATGCATAAAGGAAAACTAAAAAAAATTCAAGATAGTATACTATTCTACTGTTATTAAAGAAAAATCAAATAGTGTATCAATTAAAAGTAGCTAATACAACCAAAAAATATTTCAACTAACATATGATACCAGTATAGTATATAGCTATACCAACAGAGTATACAATTGTACGCAAAGAGTTTAATTTTTTTTAATTCAATTATTAAACTGAAATAATATCAGTTGTCACATAATCTAATTAACTCAAAGAGAGCTTATGCGATGAATAATACCTCCATGGAATTCCATTAAATAGTACATTTAGAAAAGTATTTAAAAAACAAACGAGAGCTTCGTCTAAATTTCAATATGAACTTTCCAAAAGGTACTATAAATAATATTTTATGATACCCAGTTAGAATCAAACAACAAAAATTCAAAAAGGATTTTTAAATTCAAGAGTTTCAAGCTCAACAATGGTGGGTCTTCAAACACACACAAAAGTCCAGATCTGGAGTTTGTAAAAGAGTTTAACAAGAAAATCTCTGAAAAATAACTTTGAACACAACATCCAATTAAGTAATTGGGTATTTTTAGGTAATTAGTACGAGGATCACGCGTGACGTTGAATAAAAATCTCATATAGAGAAAGCCAAAATCTATCGAACTCAATGAAATTGAGAATTTTGAGAAGAAACTATTGAAACCCTAATTTTTTTTATAGATTTACTTTCTAGCTTTGTTTTTCTGGAATACATGAAAAAAAAGAGGATAAAAAAAGTGGATTGATCAGAGATTATAGGGAGGGATATAATCCAATTAGAGAAAGTGAAGAAAGAGAAAGGGAGAAGAAAAATATAGAGAAAAAGTACAAGGCAACTTTAAACTGCATAGTTGCAGTGGAAGAATAAATAAGAAAAATGGGTACACGGGTAAATAGTTTTGGTCGGCTAGGTGTATAGTGTAACTATTTTGAGAGTAGGTAAAAGCGGATAATTAGTTTGTCTTTAGTAGGTATATAGCATAAATTGCAAACAAAGGAAACAAATTAGAAGATGTACTTTTAATAAAAATGTGCCACTTCAAACATATGTTAAACAAGTTTTCTTACGGACCCATTCAATCCTTTCTTCAAGAAAGAATTTGGGACTTTGACTAGGTCAAAGTTAAATAAGTAAGTTTGCGGTCTAATTATGATTTCCAAACTATCGGGAGCAAGAATCAAAGCATCCAAAAAAAAAGGGAAAAATGCTAGATTTGTCCCTCTACTTTAGTAAATTGTCCACGTTTATCCCTAATTCTATTATCCGTCTAAATATGT